TTTTCTTTTGCTCATAAAACACCACAGAGTAACCATCTACCTTGAATGATCTGTAGGCCTTATATTGCGGTAATATTAGTATTAAAAATAATTATGGTATACAGTAAAATCCCTGACAACCAGACTAAGAAGGCCTTACGGATACGAGAAATTGGTTACAAAGTCCGGAGATTAGATTAAAATAAAAAGAACTGAAATCAGGTTTAACATTTATTTTCAATGTTTTATAGTAAACAAAATAAGCTAATGGTGAGTGAAATATAACGGAATTGATTTTAAGGAAAAAAAAGAAATAAATTATGTAATGTTAATGAAAATTCATTAAATTAAGTATGCCACGTATGCAAAAACAAATAATGTAACGAGGATTTTTTTAATCGTTGTTGCATGATGATTCTTTTCTTCTAATGTCATTCTCAACTTTTTCCGCATTTCGTTTTGCTTTTTGTTCTTAAAATTTTTTAAACGAAAGACACTTTTTAACTCTGCATGCGTTATTGCAATCGTCATAGCTGAATGCTGGCTTTCTTTCCATAAAACTGACAACCTTTTCAATAGCGTTTTCAGTTTCAGTCCAGGTTTCATCACAATCATGCATCTCGTCGCTATCTTGTTGCAGATGTGTTTCATTGTCATCCTTTCCTCTTATTCTCATCATCTTTTGCACCAATACAATCCTTTTGGGTGAAATAAGCATAAGCAATCATCCAAAATGTCCTGAAAAACTGAACTTTCAAATCAGTTACATGTCAACTATATAGTTCAAATATACGTATCAAAATCATGTCCGGATATGGGGGATTCCGGATATGAGGGATTCCGGATATGAGGGATTCCGGATATGAGGGATTCTTTTCTTTCTTTTTTTTTCTTTTTTTTTTAGATGTGGCCGGAAGCCAGACTACGTTCAGTTCAGTAAATGATTTTATGGTAACACCTTTTCTGCGAAACACTTCTTTCTTGAAGATGAAAGGCGAAACGAGCCAGAAAGTCGATGAAAAGTGAGCGAAAAAGTCGAAAATTTACACCTAAATTTGACTCAGTAGTCGACGATCAAAAGAATATCTTGTGGAGAATGAAGCGCAGGTAATTTGAATAGACATAATCGATAATAGAAGGCCAAACTGATTAGAAACTCACGGGAAATGAAATTAAACAATCTTTAAAGATCTTGGAAATATCTTAATTATGAACGAAGTTTATAATTCAAACATTTATTGTTCCTTAGCAGCATTTAAAACTACTTATTCGATTAGAACTTTGCAACTTTTTATAGTGTTTCAAACTCTCCGAAATCATTTCCGTACGAAATTCAAATATTTTTTCTCAGAATATAAAAAATCTGCTTAGGGGCGTTAATTTTAAAACAAGCCACTCCCGCCAGCCATTTTGCGCGGGTTGTTCGTTTGTCACGGGTATCTACCATTTTTAATGTTGAACCAGACGATTTTGTATTAAGTAAATAAACATCTCTGTCGTTACTATTTATCTCTGTATATACCTATCTAATCTGTTTGTCTTTATGACTGTCTATCTATCCCATTCTGTTCATTATCTATCTATCTATCTATCTATCTATTTATCTATCTATCTATATATATATATATATATATATATATATATATATATAATGGCCATTCATTATTCGCCAAAGTTTAAAACTAGAAAGCTAAGAAATCCCTATTGGAGACTCTCGCTCAGGCACATCTGTGTTTGTTCAACACCCACGGAGCCAACCTGTGGGTTTTTACTCTTTGTTTCCCAAAAAAAAATCCGCTCATAATATCAACCTTTTTTAGTAGTTAGGAGAAAACTATCTCTGCAAGCTACCACTAAATCTATCTATCTAGAATCTTTATAAATATATATATATATATATATATATATATATATATATTATTATGCCTGTCAGCCTGCGTTATCAAATCTGCTGAACAGACAGATTTAATCGATTCTATTTTAATCAAACTTGTTTGGATAAATTCTCATTTCCTACATGCACATTATTCATATATATTATAATTATTTCTTTAAAAATATGATTCCTTAATTTTACATAAGAGTTCTCATATATATATCGAAAACGATATTCGAAAAACCATCAATATAATTGTATAAATTGTTATAAATTGAATTAAAGTAAGAAGCCCTGTTTCATCCTCAAGTGAAAATTCAGGAATGTATCTCTCTCTCTCTCTCTCTCTATATATATATATATATATATATATATATATGTACAAAATACAGAAAATTATATATATATATATATATATATAAAATATACAGAATACAGAAAATTCAGGAATACATATATATATCTATATATATATATAATGCTTATACAGAATACAAAACCTACCCAGCATGAGAATCCTGTAAATTGAAAATTCTCGAAAAGCTACCAGGATCCAAGTATAACAAATTGCCAGACGCTGTTTTTAACGAGTCCTGGACAGAAGCTTAAATGAAACCATCCAGACAGCAGCAATTACAGGGAACATAAGAGCGATGTACGATGTCATCAAGACGGCAATGGGGCCAGTGCAGAACAAGACAGCTCCCCTTGAATCCACCACGCGGGAAGGCATTCTTAGACATTTTTAGATCGAGAGAAGGGAAAAACACTATTCCAACCTTTATTGAATTCAAAATGTCTTGACGACCGCAGCCTTTGATGCCATTGAGTGCCTGCTGGTCATGGAGGATCTCGATACTGAACCGGCCACAGAAGAGTTTAGCAAGGCCATTGACAGTTTGGCCTCAGGGAAGGCCCCTGGCAATGACGGGATCTCTCTTGATTGGGCACTGCAAGACTGCCCTACTGCTCCCATTACACAACGTCCTCAACCAGTCCTTGAAAGAAAGGGCCGTACCTCAGGATATGACAGATGCCAAGATCGTCACCCTCTATAAGAACAAGGGTGAGCGAAGGGACTGCAACAATATTAAAGGAATCTCGCTCACTAGCGTTGGGGAAAATTTTTGCTGTTTAATTTCTGCGGAAACTCGCCGGACGTGTCTACCCAGAGTCGAAATGCGGTTTCGAATTATAAAAGATCAACGGTAGACATGGTCTTCTCCCCCCGCCAGCTCCAGGAGAAGTGCATAGAACAGCAGATGCCCCTTTACCTCGCTTTTATTGATCTCACCAAAGTGTTCGATCTCGTCAGCAGAGAAGGCCTCTTCAGAATCCTGTCCAAGATTGGCTGCCCACCCAAGTCATTCCACAGTGACATGCGGGGGACTGTGTAGTTCAATGGTAGCACCTATGTGCCCTTCAACATCTGCAGTGGGGTCAAACATGGCTGCGTCCTCGCTCCTACACTATTCGGGATTTTCTTAGCATTGATTCTGAAGGATGCATTCGACACATCAAGAGAAGGGTTTTACCTTCATACGAGATCAGATGTCGGGTTGTTCAATCTCGCTTGTCCCAGAGCCAGGACCAAAGTACGTGAAGTCCTTGTCAGAGACATGATTTTTGCAGACGGTAGGGACTCACACCCAGTGTGAACTTCAGTCACTGATGAACCATTTCTCCCAGGCCTGCAGAGACCCCGGGCTGACCATAAGCCTGAAAAAGACAAACGTACCGGGACAAGGTATCGAAACACCACCAGCTATCACCATTGACGAGTATCAGCTCCATGCGGTCCATCAGTTCACGTACCTTGGCTCCACCATCACTGACAACCTCTCCTTACATGCAGAGATTGACAAGAGAATTGGGAAGGCAGCCACAACACTTTCGCGCCTCACGAAACGTGTGTGGAGCAATCCCAATCTGTCGGTAAAGACCAAGATGACAGTGTACAACGCCTCCGTAATCAGCAAACTGCTATATGGGAACGAGGCTTGGACCACGTACGCCAGGCAAGAAAGGCGTCTGAATACCTTTCACATGAGAAGCATCCGCCGTATCCTGGGAATAGCGTGGCAAAGCAAGGTGCCTAAAACTGAGATCCTGTCTCGAGGAGGTTTGCCCATCATGTTTACACTGCTCGGACAAGGCAAACTCCGTTGGTTGGGTCACGTCCATCGCATGCCAGACGACCTCTTGTAAGGAAATATTTATCTTTGGCTCAAAATTTCAGCTGCGGTACGGCTTTGCCGTGAGACGTGGTATGAAAGCTGTGGACACCGACACAGAGTCCTGGGAGAGCCTAACCAAACACCTCAAGTCAGGGGAGGAGAAGCTGACTCAAGTCACCACGGAAAGTCGGGCCTGTAGAAAGCAAAATAACAGCTAATAGTTTTATTAACACTTAGGCAGAAATTCACTTTTGCCAACAGTCCAAAATGAAGTTCAAGGCTCACTAACAAATACAGAAAACGAACACTGAGACATTAAAATAACATAAGTAAAATGTATTCCTTTTAAAAAATGTGTTCCTTTTATTTGCCTGAAGAGGGTCACAAGACCAGAAACCCGTGTAGCAGAAATATGAAGAATAAAATATAATATATATACTAAAACAAATTCACATTATAAATAAAAACGTTTGCTGTTTCTCTTTTTAGTTTTTTAGTTTTTAAATATACATTTTTCTCTCGTTGGAATAGCTATAAACTTTTCCCTATATATATATATATATATATATTATCTGATTGGAATATAGTGTATGGTGTTTCGAGTTGGATTCAGTCATATTCTTTTTTAATCTATGCTTTTTCAACTTCATATAAATAGATGTGTTTACTCAAAAGTATTTTTAGAGAATGACGGTCGAGAAATAAAACAAGGAGAGCTCATTCATTTTTGTGACGGCCAATCAAATGTCCTGACGGATTTTTCCCCACAGCAGGAAAGACACAAAATGGCATTTAAATAATTCTTTAAAGAAAGAAACAAAAATCAAAACAAAAAAGAAAGTTATAGTGATCTAAGACAAGGTTTAAAATTAGCAGCACCATTTCCACACACGTAACTTTGCTTTTAAATATGATATACATTGATTCATAGCGACTTTATTTGGCAGGCAGCCATTGGCCAATATGTGATGACGTCACTGGAGCGTGGTTCATGGTTTTGGTTTGTTCTTTCTTTCTTTCTTTCGTTATTTATTTATTTATTTCAGTCTTTTTTCGTTTGTGAAGTTAGTTTTATTATTACTCTTTCCTTTTTCTTCTTTCTTCTTTCTTTCTCCTCTTGTTTCTTTTACATTTAATGTTTCCTTGATTTTCTTTTTTTTTTCTTTCGTTCGCTTTCCGCATTTCTTTTAAAAGTCTCATTTTTTTTCTTCGTTTTTCGGGTCAGTATTAATCTCTTTTCTTATTTCCTTTTCATTTTCTTTCTTTCTTTCTTTCTTTTTTTCTTTCTTTCTTTCTTTCTTTCTTATATTTCGAGTTTGTATTACTTTCTTTCATTTTTCTTTCTTTCGTTCTTACTGCTTTTTCTTTCTGTTTTTATTTTATTTCTTTCTTGAATTCGTTTTGTTAATGTTCTTTTTTCCCCATTCTTTCTTCTCTTGGTTATTTCTTTCTTTCTTTCTTTCTTTCTTTCGTTCGTTTATTTTTAATATATATTTTTTATTTTCGTTTTATCTCTTTCTTTCGTTTTTACTACTTAGTTCTTTCTTTTGTTTTTCGAGTTACTATGTCCTTCTTTCTTTCTTTCTTTCTTTCTTTCTTTCTTTCTTTCTGTCAGTCCCTTCAGATCTATCTATCTATCTATCTATCTATCTATCTATCTATCTATCTATCTATCTATCTCTTTCTTTCTTTCTTTCTTCCTTTCTTTCTTTCTTTCTTTCTTCCTTTCTTTCTTCCTTTCTTTCTTTCTTCCTTTCTTTCTTTCTTTCTTTCTTTCTTCCTTTCTTTCTTTCTTTAGTCTATTTAATTTTCGTTTGTTTTTTTGTTTCCCCGTCCCTTATTTTGCTATCTTTATTACGTTCACTTTCTTTCTTTCTTTCTTTCTTTCTTTCTTTTCTTTCTTTTTTTCTTTCTTTCTTTCTTTCTTTCTTTCTTTTTTCTTTCTTTCTTTCTGTTAATTTTGCTAGCTCTTTTCTTTCTTTCGTTTTTACTACTTAGTTCTTTTTTTTTTCTTTCTTCATTTCTTTTGCCTTATTCTTTCTTTCTTTTTTTTTTTTTGATTAATTACTGACTGATCGAAAAAGGCGCGAGTATTTTATTGCTTCATCATTTTTATTTAGTATCATTCTGCGGGTGTAGCCACGCGATTTGTGTCAGCTGCCAGGCCTCTCCTTATTTACGAGGGGATAATGAAAAACTTCTCAGCCCAATCCACCTCCAAATGATCAAATATCTTTGTCTTAGCCCCTTCTTGCTCGAACCCAGAACGTTTCAGTACACTCCTTTGCATATGAAGCCTATTACTAATTCTTCGCCATAATTTTCTACGTTTTAGGATTTGCTCGTTGGCTTCTGCACGCCGCCTGTTGCACAAAAAGAAATGAACTCATCTATAAACATTAATGATGAAGAAGACGACTAACGTTTCTCACTCCTTTGCACAGTCATTTTACATACCAATTTTACATACCAAATTAGCACACACGCGAACGAGCGAACGCACGCGCGTACAGAAGCACAGAAATGCAAACACTATAAGCTCAAGTTTTATTGAGCATCTTCTGATTTTCGAAAAACCGTCTGAAAATTTTCAAAACTAATTTACAAGCTTTTGGAGCATCGATTTTTCTCTTGATGAAGGGTTCTATCATATATTCATTAATAATAATAATAATAATAATAATAATAATAATAATAATAATAATAATAACAATAATAACAATAATAATAATCGAAATCTCAAAAATGTGGCACATGGGAACATCGACAATCCCTGTTGTAGTTGGAGCCCTCGGATTGGTTGGAAAATATTCCAGTAGACTAATTGAAGGGATTCCTGGAAGCCAATGCCTTAAAGAAATATAAAAAAAATTGTTCTCACGAGTATAGCCCACATTGTACGAAGCGCTTTGTCTATGTAAAGTATGTGTATGATTTTTCTTTTCTTTTTTTTTTTATTTGGTCAGTGGAAAATGTCATGATGCCATTTCTAACCTTAGGTCTCTAGACGGGATCCGGAAAGAAATGTGTACACACCAGAAATCAAAAGAAATAAAAAATATAACAACAACAACAGCAACAACAATAATAATAACTTCTTTTAACCCATGAAAATTTCACGTTTTTCCTATTTGAATTTTCTGATGAATCTTAATTCTTCAGTTAGTGATTGAGTAAGCTTATGATGAGTTCTACGACAATAAAATCTCTGTAGAAATATCCCCTATCGCATCATTAAAATATTTGATCTGAACAACTTTAACAAAATATTGCAATAACAATTATAAATGTGAATGCTGGTCTTTATTTTAAGAAGTAAGGGGATACAAATGAAGAGATTTGGAACTGACAAATTTTATTTTACCATCTTTCTTTCATTTTCTCCCTGAAACCAAGTAGCGTCTTTTATGTGGCTTTTGTCCTCTCACGTGACCAAAACGGAATAGACCTTTATGTATGGGGTTTTGAAAGTTAAACATTTCTTTCTCTCTTTCTTTCTTTCTTTCAGTGAAACCAAATAGCGTCTCTAATATGTCTTATCTTTCCACACGCTCGAAACGAAATAGTCGATTACTTATTACTTATGAGGTATTGGCAGGGTGTAATGGTCGTGCAAACTAAGAAGGGCGAGACAAGTACAATTATTATATGATAATAATAATGAAATAAATCCATTATTGTATGAAGTTTAATCAAATTCCGACCTCTTTTTGTCTAATCTACCTCGACAGCTAATAAAAATCTTGGTTCTGAAGAATTTAAAATTTTGCGTAAACATCTCTCTAAAAAACTTGGACGCCATGCCTGAATGGTTTAAATAATTTCAGCATCCTCGCCTAGTATGAGTTAAAGCAAAAAAGGTAGGTAACTTACAAAGCATCGAATAGTATCTATAGTTTAAACACACATATATATATATATATATATATATAGCCACTCAGAGACAGAGTGTTTTGATGTATCACAGTTCATCAGTGTGCTTAGAAGTCCGTTTTCTTCTTAGCTAGGATCGAAACCCGGCTAAATTGGCGTCAGTCGGAGATTCTACCACAAAGCCGTTGGCGGACGGCAGGGGTGAAGGTGAATTTAAGCGTAATTTTTTTTTTTATAGCTAAACACACAGTGACTTAGAGGTCTCATTTCGCTTTACCGAAGTCTTGCTATATTAGCCGTAATAGTCACTGTTTACAAACCCACACTTCCTCCCCAGAGAGCTCAACTGAAATAATTTTTTCAGGGGCCATATATATATATATATATATATATATATATATATATATATATATATATATGCGTGTGTGTGTGTGTGTGTGTGTGTGTGTGTGTATAAGTCACAATTGGCTGCAATAAATTTTCCACGACCATATATATATATATATATATATATATATATATATATATATATATATATATATATATATATATGGGGTGTAGGGGGGGTCATATTTGGCTGGAATGACGATGAATTTGTCGCTGTCATATTCTCACACAATCGTCAAGGATGGCATGTCTAAGTTCATGTTTATCGTGACATGAAAAATAACTCTCCCACCTTCACCCTCTGACCGTATTTTTCTACTTAGCTTAGATCTGACATGTAATTGACTAATCGAAACATTTGAAAAATACACTAAAATTATTAAAAAAATGAATCAGTAATGAAAACATAACTCATAGATACATAAAAACAGTTGATAAAAACAAATGCACCAAATTCATTATTTACTATAAAAAATTAAAAACTGCGAATTGATTTAATTAATAAATTAATTTAATTAAAAACTTAATATAACCTAAGGTTTAAAATTCCTATATAAATCTAATGTTGTATATAAATATACATACCCAGTCGGGGAAAGTTTCTCTGTAAATAAAAAACACAAACATCATACATAGGATATACCATGACAACACTTTCCTGGAGACTCACCTGTCACTTATTGCACCAGTGTGCCAGCAGACAATACATTAATAAGCAGCATAAGGATCATAGTAGCATTAAACAGCTATTAAAAAACAATACCAAAATAACTGTAAAATCAAATACTAAAAGTCGACTTATGAACCTGTGAATCGTACTAGAAAATAATAACCTATAGATAAAAACAATTTATGAGCCTGCGTTCTCAAATATATATAAATCATATAAGCACACATACAACTTTTCTGTTAAAACACTTTTTGCCTATATCGCTACACACACTAGTTCTACGAAATTTAAAATTTCTTTCTTTCTACCCTGATGAGGATTTAAGAAGATCGAACGCTATAACCATATTTCTTTTGAAATGAACTTTGGTCAATTTCTAACGGAAACGGTGGGAGTAAGAGAGAAATGGCCAAAGATGTGGCCGAAAACGCTTGGAACAATAAACAACAGGGACAATTTTTGTACTCCAACCAAACGGGAAAAAATGTAAGAACGTTGGAAAGATAGAGAGAGAAGTAATACAAATATAAAATTTATCATTTAGCTAATTTTGCGTTATCTTCGGCATCCCGACTCTTAGACGGACCCTCCAGCAACCAATCCGTCCACTCGTCAGGGATATATACAACGTCTCTATGGCGAAATCTCTAAGGGAAATAGAAAACATGGTTGATCATGGAAAGGTTTTAAAAACTGCATCAAGACCAACATCGCCCACACTGGAATAGCCAGCAAGCAACTGGAAGAATGCGCACAGGGTCGAACAGGATGTTGGGTCCCGACGGGTCAAGCAACAGAGATATTTCAGGCAAACTTAAGTTAGAGTATCAATGAGGACCGTGAAAGGCAAATTTGGTTGAACATTTTAAACATATTATGTTTGTTTATTTTTATTTTAATCCTCTCAAATTCACGGAACAATTTCTTAGTGCTGTTACAAAACTGAATAAGAAAGACGCCGTAGTTTTGGTCATTTCTTTTATTTTCCCAAGTACTTTCAATCTCATCCAACCAAGATCATATTCAGGGGTGATTCGCTAAGACAAAAACTTTATGTAACTGATAGTAGTGATTTTTTTTCAAATGATCAAACATGCTTATAATATATATATATATATATATATATATATATATATATATATATATATATATGTATAAAAGGCTCAAACACTAATATTCCATGGTTATAATTTATTACATTGGAATCGTAATCACGATCCAATTCATCAGACCTACAAATTCAAAAAGCTTTTTGAATTTGTAGATCTGATGAATTGGATCGTGATTACGATTCCGATGTAATACATTATAACCATGGAATATTAGTGTTTGAGCCTTTTATATTATATTCTTACTCTGTCCTGGGTATTGAGTTCTACCTGGATTCTATAATATTGTACTCACTATATCATACTATTATTTGCCTCCTATAATACCATTCCTTATCTTCTATAATACCATTCTGTCTTCTATATTACTGTACTCTCTCTATCAAACCGTTGTCTACCTCCTATAATACAATTCTCTGCCTCCTATAATACTGTTCTTTGCCTTCTATAATTTTGTTTGCCTCCTATAATACCATTCTCAGTTTCCTATAACATTCATTGTTTTCTATAATTTTATACTCACTATATAATACCAATGCCTGCCTCCTATAATATTTACACTATTTATAGTACCATTGCCAATCTCCTATAATATAATTCCCTATAATACCATTATCTGCCTCCTATAATACCATTCTTTGTCTTCTATAATATTGTACTATCTCTACAATACTATTGTCTCTCTTCTATAATGCCATTGTCTCTTCTATAATATCCCCCCCTCTATAATACCATTGTCCGTGTCATATAATACCATTCTCGGTCTAATATAATACTCTATGCCTCTCTATAATACCATTGCCTCCCTCTATAATTCCATTCTCTATCTTCTATAATAATTATTCCCTTTCTCAAATAACAAATGTCGTAGGTTGACAACTTTCATCAAATCTTTCACCAACGAAGGAATTCATAACAATGGTCAACCCAAATATTTTAACCTGATTCATGGCTTCTTT